CATTGTGCATGTTCAATTTGACCCAAATTTTCTTTTTCCTCGTTTGTGTTTTCTTTTGAAGCAACTTGATTGGAAAATATATGCAAATTATAATAGTAGCCCTTTTCTATCTTCAAGAAATCGCCCAGGCGTTTGTCTTTCTCTTATTTGAATAAAATATTAGAATTACTCCATAGGTTCAATGGAGTTTTCTGTGTTGGTGTGAGATCCTGCAAACGGTTTATTAATTAAAAAAAAAAAGCTTGCTTGCTATAGCATCATTTGAAGATTACATTTTCTAACTATTGGACAGTAGTGCATTCTCTAGGATACTTGAGATTCTTGATGCTGTTCGTTCCCAAGAGTCAAATGCAATTGTTGATATCAGTAATTGCAACATCTGGAAGTCAGCCGATTCATGGTGGAATAGAACTAAAACTGGTCTTGGGAAGTACCATTGAAGTCAAACAAGATGGGAATGGGGAAATCAGCACTATAGCCTGACATTCCTTCTCTCTTCAGCTATGGCACAGTCAGCCGAAACTTGAAGATACCAGTTCTTCCTGGCAGTTATTTGTCAGGTGTAACAAAGAAGTGACAATATCATAACAACATCATATACGAAACAAACATCCATTTCAAAGATATCGCCATCTTAAATCGAGCACGATATACTTAATCTGGTGACTGTTGTGAGGTTTCCCTAATTCCCATGAACTATGAACAAAATGGGAAAGGAATGCCACAATACATGAATTTTCACAGCTTCATATAACTGTCATTGAAGTCCCACATGCACAAGATCATATTACAAAGTGAGAGTGAGAAAGACAGTGGGGTTGGGCAGAGAGGGGTGGGGGGGTGCTTAATAACTAAAGATGCCTATTTATGCATTTTCTGTTTCTCTTAATAGCAATGAGCCACATTAATAGAGAAAATTACTTCAGTCATCTGAGCTATAATCACTAGATTCTGACAGTAGAGGCACAGCAGCACAGCAGAATGACTCCTTGTCTTTGAGGAGAAGACAGCTCCCATCTCTATTCCATTTCAAATCAGTAATAGAAAACTGTGGTAGCGGATTACTTACACAGTATGCACCGGAAGGGGTCCACATATATAAATGGGAGCTTCCAGTGCAAAGAACAAGGCGAGTGCATATTGGATCCCAAACTGCTGCACGAATAGGATCCTTCTGCACCAAGATGGCAGCTAACTCCAAATGGCGTATGTCCCAGATCCAGAGAGCGGTAGGCATGCTATCATTGCGAGTACAAATAAACTGGCTGTCGTTGCTCCATGAGAGAAGACCTAGAAATAAATTAATTTGGTTGGTGATGGCAGGGGAGGAAACTTAAAGTTAATTTGGTCAGGTCATTCTAATTAGTTTGTTGAGCAGCTTAGTACAGTCTTATACTTGAAAGTGTTATTACAGAGTTACAGCCAATAGAAAGTATAACCACTATATTAGATCGCTATCAATGCCCAAAGCAAATTTAGTCTGTTGAAGTGCATCTGGAACTTGTTACTGTAAAAGGTTGGCTATTTAAAATTACATAGAACTGTAAATAGCTGATGAAGACAATGCTGATAAGCGGTAATGTAACTTTACTCCTCCTACAGGTAGAACAGGAAGTAGGGGGAGTACACGTGATTGATCCATAGAAAAATAACTTAAAACTGAAGATCATTTCCAATAAGAATACATCTTCTAACAGCCCAAACTTGAAGTGCCCTAACATAACACTGGGCATACTAGCTGATGACCTTCACCAAGGTCATTCATCAGGGTAAAAGGCTGGTCATCCAGTGACAGGGCTAACATTAAAAGGTGAGAGATTATTTGCAACTTCAACAGATTTTTCGGATAAAAGTCAGAGCCAGTTGACCTCCATTTACTAAGAGCACTATGCCAATGGTTACAAGTTAAAGCATTCTGCGTTCTGCATTCTACATTCTACATCAGTTTGGTAAATAAGGATGCAGGCTTACCAATTCCTTGTTTAGGGTTAGGTTTGTCTGCAGGAGGCTTCTGGAAAGGCAATGTAATGGGTACTTCCATAACCTCATATCTAACTTTAAAGTGCCCTTCTGGAGCATCTGCTTAAATAACAGCGCATATGAATCCAATTAGATAACTGAGAGGCTGAAATTGCATATCGAGCAATGACTGAGAAAGCATGCACATGCATTTAAACTTAATAAATTGAATGTAAAAGCACAAAGCAATCAGGCCCTACACAGACAAGCACAATTTCACATCAAGCATTACATCAAATAAAAAAAGGTCATTAATCAGACATATAATTCTCAATCATTCTCACCAGAGCCTCTCATAAAATCATCGTCCAAACATAATTCAGACATATCAAGTTGCAGTGGCTCATCCACCTCCTGGCAATATAAGAAAAACAAAGTTAGTAGATGCTTCTGACAGATTGAATCATCTTTACAAGAAGCCATATAAAAAAATAACAAGGAAAACAACTTACCTTGAAGACAGCAGCACAACAAGGAGCACGAACAGTTGACAGGTGCATAAACTCAGCAAAAGTTTTCCAAGTAAGGTGATTTAGAACTCGAAGCATCTGATCATAACTACCAACTGCAAGAAACTGGCCACAGGGAGACCATGAAACACTTTTTACTCCCAATCCACTTTCATATGCTTGATACTTAAAGAGACATCTTCCGTCAGGAGAATAGATTAGAACCTGCATCAAAATTACAAAATGAACTGTAAGTTCGTTAATTTTTCCAACTATATCAGTTCAACAGAAAGGTAATGCAAGCAAAAGTGATGCATGTTTATACATCAGTAAAACCAGAAACATAATCATGTGGTGATTGATGGATAATTAGACACACAACTGTCAGAACCATGTAATTTCTGGCTTTGGCTATATCATTTTGTAAGATAGCACTTACACCAGGAAAACAGAAAAGGCATAGCATTCAGAATAGACTTCTAGTTTACCTCACTGTATTTCTTGTGCTTGCAAAAAGTTCGCACCGTCAACTCAAAGTGCACTAAGCTCGAAGCAGACCATTTACATAAAAGAAATAGCAAAAGAGAAAGCTTTTACACAGGTTAAAATAAATAAGATCCGTATGACTATCATATATGAGGTCAAAGTCTCTGAAAGGGAATAAGGGAACAATGAGTTCTTCTGATTGTACACATGCTATATCAATTGGGAACAAAAAAGGTGGCTATTTTATGACAAGCAACAGAAAACATAAGTTCACCTACTTTATATTCAAGAGGAGAATCCCATATCACTATTGCACTGTCATCTGGTGACCATTCAATATCAGCCAAATCCAATGTGTCAACAGCAAAAACGCCCATGATCTCCCAAGAGTGACAAGACAGCAGATTAATATAGTCCTTACAATCACGCCTTGTGCAAACAGCAGCAAACTTTCCATCTTTGGTAAATGAAACTCCCTTGGAGGCATGCTTTGGCCATTGTACATGAACACAAGCTGTGTTCACTAATGACCAAACTGTTAATCGCAGCTGAAACTCTGAGGTGGTCAGTATGTGACGACTATCTGGGCTCCATCTCGCATAAGCAATACCAGCAGGACCTTCATCTATTTTACATGTCCATTCAGGTTGGGTGAGGGACCATGCCTGTATCATTGGTCGTTTATAGAGACCGCAAAGAATGTACTCAGAATCAAGTGCCCATTCGATATAGCTTATCTTATCCAAGCAAGAAAACAACTGCACAACCTGCAGAATAAGAATCACAATAACTATTTACCAGCTAGAAACACAAAAATGCATGCTGCGATCGTCAAAAATGACCTTTCCACATGCAAGTGCCCATCCATTGTATTTTCTAATGCTTCAAGGCATTCATAATCAAAGACATGAGCTCAAAGATTAAAGAGCAATTTGCAGGAGTGCTTTGATTGATTGAGTGTGTGCTTGAAAAAAGATAAAACTTTGATCAAAAGATTGGGGTTTTACAGAAGACATTAAACTTGGGCTTAAGGAAAAAAACTTTACCATTCTCAATGACCCAGAAAAACAGAACAAAAGGCAGACTTTTATGCTTGGTCTAAAGAGTGAAGCATTGCAAATCAAATAGGAAAGATTACGGCACAAATCTGACTGCTTAACGGTAGGTAGGAACCAAATGCTAAAGCAAAGTATCAATTCTTAAAAAATACTGTGTAATTAAGAGAAAGAAGATCTAATCAGAAATTAAAATAAGGTGAACGTGCACATTTTAAATTTGAGTCTTCGCATACAATTGATTCAACACCGCAAATCAAAACAAATCCAAAAAAAAAAGAGAGAGAGAGAGAAAAAAGAAGACAATTTCTCTTCCTCCTCACTCCTCCCATTCCCGTTTTACCGGCAGCCAAAGAGAGCAATGAATTGGAAGAGGAAAAAGTACCTTGAACGAGAGTGTATCGCGAATCACGAGACGATAATCGACGGCAACCGCAATGTAACGAGCATTAGGAGAAAAACAGCATGGTCCAGTTTGTTTATAAGCTTCAGTGAACTCCATTCTTTTGCTTTTAGGGAAACAATTCCAGATTCGGAATGAATCAACGCAGATGAAATCCCATCTTCGCTGGTTTCTCCATTGTTAAAAAAAAAAAAGAAGAAGAAAAAGAGCGAAAAAGGAAAATAGATTTGGAGAGTGGTTTAAATTTTGAAGTAGATTTCACTTTTCAGTTTTCCTTTCATCGGTAGACAGGATTTTTAACTGTGAAAAGCGCCACGGTGGCACTAACGGATGGATTTTCGAGGGTTTGGGTTTTCTACTACAACTGGCCTTTGATGGGCTTTTAGGTTTTGTTAGATAAAAGGGCCAAAAGTTGAAGGAAACCGGGCTGGCCCCATGTAGTTTCTCGGTCAGTAAAAGACAAAGCCCGAGGCACCTATTCCCTCCCACAAAAGGACTAATTTAACCCCACGTTGTTTTAGAATTTACGGGAAGTCGGTTAAAACATAAAACCTGAAACCCAAAAAGGCGCTAGGGTTTAAGGGTTAAGTCTTTAAAGCTGGACTTCTGCTCTTCAGTTCTTCTTAGTTCTTACCGTTGTAGCGTCATAAAACGGCTACGGCTTCAGATCGTTTCTCTTTCTTCACTTTTTCTTGCGTTTCAAGAATCCTCGAATCTCTTCCCGCTCTTGCTTTTTCTTTGATCGTTGAAGTTAGGAATGGCGAGTTCAATAGCTTCGCAGTTACAGGCGATTAAATCGTTTATTCAAGCCGACTCTGAACCTCAAAAGCGACCTTTCACTCGCCCTTCCATTTTGTTTAACGCTAAAGAAGCCGCTGACATCGACATCGACACTATTCTGAACATTGCGTTGTCAGGTCAGTTCCCATTTTTTCCAAACCTCAATTTCCAGAGAAAATTTCTGTTTGGTTCTTCATTTGTTAATTTTTTTTTTCGTTTCATGTTGTTTTTAGGGCTAGAGGTTCTAGTAGGTGTCGACGACAGATTTAGGAACTACAAGAATGATTTGTTCAGTCGCAAGAGTAAAGAATTGGATAGAGAATTAATGGGAGTAGACGATAATAATCAAATTAATGCTTCAATAAGTTCGTATTTGCGGTTACTCTCAGGGCATCTTCAACTTCCTGCATCTCTGAAAACACTTGAGTACTTGATACGTCGATACAAGTAAGTAATTTAATTAGTTAACTTTTGAGACGTTACTGGTTGTTATTTTTTTGTGACCTTACTGGTTGTTATTGGAATGTTGATGTTGTGTCAAATTTCTTTTTCACTTTGATAATGTTAATGTGAGTGTATTTTCAGGATTCATGTTTACAATATTGAGGACTTGGTCTTATGTGTCTTGCCATACCATGACACACACGCTTTTGTTCGTATAGTTCAGTTAATCAACACAGGGTAAGGAAAGCATGAAGATTCTTTTCCAGTTCTCATGTATACATATTTGTAAATGCTGCTTTACTGTTCTTGATTGGTACAGGAATAGTAAATGGAAATTTTTGGACGGTGTTAAAGTGTCTGGTGCACCACCTCCTAGGGCTGTTATAGTGCAACAATGTATTCGAGATATGGGGGTTCTGGAGGCCTTGTGCAATTATGTGAGTCATTGCTCTATAATTTATGGGTTATCCAGTTGCTATCTCCCAGTGAGTCTCATATGAATTATTGTTTGCTGCAGGCATCTGCAACGAAGAAGTTTCAGGCTTCAAGACCTGTGATTAGCTTTTGCACTGCAGTTATTATTGAGGTTTTGGGTTCTGTTACAACTATTGACACTGACACTGTGAAGAGAATCCATCCATTTGTAGCTTCTGGTCTCCAAACTGGTACAGAAGGAGGTTCTGATCACAAGGTGAGTTTAAAGTCATAGGTCTAATTGTTTGAAAATTTGTTTTCATTAATTATATTGCTTGTAATATTTTGTTTTATGGATTCTTTGTACAGCATTTAGAATGCTGATTGCAATGTGCAATTAGTATCAATTATATTTATTTCCTTTATGTAGGCTGGTGCTTTGATGATTGTTGGGTTACTAGCAAATAAAGTAGCATTGTCTCCCAAACTTGTAAATAGTTTGATTCGATCAGTTGCTGAGGTAGCTAGGGAAGACGTGAAAGAGTCAACTGACTTGCAATGGTTTCGGTTGTCACTTATGGCTTTAATAAGTCTTGTTCAGGTACTAGCATCCTACTGTTTTTTTGTAATTTGCAAGAAGCAATTTCATCCTAAAATTCTATCATTTATGAATTTATTATTATTTTTTCAAATTTATTATTATTTTTTCATTCTCTATTGATGGTGTTTTGGCATTTTTCATTTGAGGTTTACATGCATATCTCTTGTGAATTGATTTCCATATTTTTCTACCGTGATTACATGATTCACAAGGGAGGCTTGGTTTCACTCTCATCATTTTGTATGTTTCAACAGTTGATGCATATAATGAACAATTACTGTTGCTTTTGTCATGATGCACGTTTTCGTAAAACTATATTGGTTTGATCCAAATTTACATTTGATGGGTCTTATGTCTATATTGTGTCTGCTAGATTATTAATTTTAGAAAGTTCTTAAAACTTTTTCTTCTTTATTTTGTAAAGTGCTTTCTTTTGATAGATCAACTCATATGATTAAAGGGTTGCTTTCGAGGAATAGGCGCTTGGTGTGCCTTGTTACACAATGATTCTATGTGAAGAGTCTCTCAATTGAAGAATTTTGTCATCCTTGCAGTAAATGTTTGGTTCTATGTTGCAAGCATTATCTTGTTTCTATTTTTCTTACTGTAGTTTATGTAAATTTTGTAGTCACAATCTATTGATACATTCCCAAAGAAGGCTTTGGAAATTTTAAGGGATATCAGGTAACTCCTTATTTGTCTAAACATTTTTTGGAGCTATCTAATGCAATACTGCATGTGTATCATGACCTGTTGTATTTTCTAACTGACCTTTTTTGCATGCTTTAAAAGGGATATTGCTGGGATTCTTCTGGAACTATCTAAAGATTTTAATATTGATAGATTCCTCACTATTCTGTTGGAAGCTCTGATCAATCAAAGGTGTGAAGCTGATTATTTTTTTCTACTGGTTATACTTCATGGCGTGCTCACTGCTTCTAACTGGTTGTTGTCTTTTGCAGTTCTTCTGATGACTCATATCTTCTTGCTTTAATATCAGTAATAGATACAGTTCCTCTGATGAATTTAGTGGATCATATTGTCTCAAAGATTCTACTATGCTGCATGAAATTATCAGAGAAGTATGGAAATTCGGCATCCTCTGAATCAGGTTTGTCTAATTTGTTAGCTTTTTCATTTCAAATTCACATTTTGCTTCACAGATGTACATGGTTCTATTTATTTACTATGATATTTTTATTTTTTCTACATTTGAACATTGTAAGTTTACTGTCAATTGCAGGCACAAATGTGTTTTTTTTTTAAAATAATTGTGCATATCTTTTGAACTACTTGATTTTACAGCTACATTTAGTACGAGCATCACTACTAAATTATTTTGTATTTCTGACTTATCTCTGAACTATTTGGCAGGAACCTGGGCTAAGAAAATTTTGGCTGCTATTCATAAGAATTATCCATCTCAATTTCATGGAGCAGTTCACAAGTTCCTAGAGGTATGTTAAATTATTACTCTATCTGTATTGTTGCTTCTCTTTATCCATCTCATGCTTCTGGTCTTATGTTTATGTCCTGTCTTCTACTAGGATACCAAAGTACAATCCAAGAAAGAGGACACAGTGTGTGAGTTCTTGAGTAAAATATTGGATGGGAATTTGGATTTGTCCATGGTTGTCCCAGAGTCCAAAATATGGTTTGCATCACACCATCCAAAGGTATTATGTACTACCACCTTATTAGGATACTATTGTTTTTGGCACTTCTTCCTTTTTAATATATGTTCAAGACTTCTTATGATTTGGTGCTGTGACATAGCCTGAGATACGGCGTGCTACATTTTCAGGGCTTAACCGATCCGCTATCCTGAAACTTAGGTCTCTTGATCCGCAGGTAATTCATGTGCACTTATATGTAATTTTTTTTTGATTTATCTGTACTGTAAATTATTTAGTTCTTCAAGCCCTTAGTTTCATTTGGGAATGTCGTGTTTGGTGCTTGTATAACTCACTCTTTCTCCTTTATTTGATGTTGGTGTTTAATCATTATTACTGTCTTATTAGAATGATTGGAAGGAAATATATTGTCTCTTTTGCATTTTTTTCCCATGTAAATTATGTGCACGTCAGAATATCTCATTTCTTGGCTGATAAGTTTGTTCCCTTCTTCTTGTGTCAGAGGTTTGTAACCATTAAAGATGTCATACTGCGCCAGCTTCATGATGATGATTTAACTGTTGTTCAAGCTGCTCTTTCTCTGGATTGGTTCACTGAAATGATAAGTCCTTTAGAACTTCTTGAAGCATTGCATCATGTGCTTAAAAGATGTCTAAGCTTTCTGACATCAGGTGAGCATGAAGCATTTTGAAATCTTCACTGCCACCACTCTAGCCTCTAAACCCTTTAAAAGAAACACAAAAAGTATAAATTCTCGACTGATTGATTCCTATTTTCCAAAGTTGCATTTATTGCCAAAAATTAACGGTGCAAAGAGAAAAAAAAAAAAACCTAGATGCTTGTGCTGAAGGAATTTATAATCCTTGTTAGGACTTAGTAGCATCAAGTCAATGATTTTGATGTATTCCATTTTAGAGTTAATTTGTTTTAGATTTGCTGATATTGGTATATGCTGGGTGCTCTATGGTTGACCTAAGCAAATTCTCAGGTGTAAAAAATTGGAGGAAACTCTTGAAATGGAAGTTTTGAGTAGAATCCTCCAATAGAAGTCCCAAAGTTTTATCGATCTTGCTCTTGAATTAAATGAGAAGTTATGATAAATTAGAAAGCAGTGGCAGAACAGTTTGCTAATAGTTTTTGCCTATTGGTTGGAAATTGTTCAATTAAATTTATACCATACCCAGAGTTTATACTCCCAGGCTTGCATGAGCTTCATTTCCTTTTATGCTTTCCATTTTCAGGTTCATCAGTTAATTCTACTTTATCTTTTGACGTTGCTGTATCATTTCTAAAGATTGCGGTCTTCAGCTTCCATGATCAGATAGATTATTTGAAAGAAGTTGCTTCCATGATATTCCCACTGCTACTAATTCTGCCAGAGGTGCTTAAATCACATGACTTCTTGAGTTGCCATATTGGCACTAATTAAGCTACGTTTCTGTTTTTATTGATGTTTCATTAATTTATTTTTATACAGACTCAGAGGTTGAGTTTAAAGGTTTTGGAATTAGCCAAGGAAATAAAGTGGCCATTTTTCCAGACTCTTGCTGCCGTGTCTGGCGAGGATGTGGTGAATTTTCTTTTTCTCTTCTTCTTTTTCCTTTTAAAAGGTGGTTTTCTGTTTTGGTATTCAGGCTTTCTTTGTGGCTTTAGTGTGGATGGTAGCTTGTCATAATTATAATAATAATTAAAGGTTTGTGAATACATGAAATGCTAGGCTGAATGCTTTGAATTATAAAATTATGTGAAAACATAGGCCTTTTGGCTGTAAGAGTATTCTTGGCTCCCATGTTTTCGTGTTATTGTAATTTGTAAAAATTCAGCCCTGGATTTTCTGTTCTTTACTTGGATGTCGACTGAAAGGACTTGAGTGTTGCTAAATGTGAAGGTCTAGTTAGATTGTCCTTTTGGGGTGGAGAAGGATGAAAATAGGAAATGAAATTTGCCAATAAGAGTTACAAAAGACATGTAATACTGTTCTAGGAAATTTTGTAATCTACTTTGAAGGCGTCTTAATTGATTACTTTCTGTGTCTGTCAACTCTATGATTTCTTCTTGTGGTTCCTAAATGCAGCTCTTCTAGAGCATGGGGTAGATGAGAAGGATTGGTGGGAAAGGATGCTCCGACTTGGTGTATGATTTTTTATTTGCATAGCTAATTATGGTGAATGAATAAACTTAAGAGACATTGCCGTCCCTCCCTTCTTCTTTCTTTAAGCGCTAGTTCAATCTGGATAACATGATTAGTTTGTACCTTCAGGATTCTGCAGATATAACAGAGCTGCTAAAATGTTACCACTGTGTATAAGATTTTTTAAGTCTTCAGCTTAACCCTGTCTAGTAGCCTGATATGCAGATAACTTTGAAGTTTGTGGAGAAAAAGAAAATACAAATTGGCTGGTGAAATTGAGTACTAAGTCTTGGATTTGTTTTATTTTTGGTCATTTCATCTCTTTTGACTTGAATGTGAATTTCGAAAGCTGCAGCAATCCCCCTCTAGTGCCCTGTAAAGATATTCTAATACTATGTAAAATCAAGATATCTTTTGGCCTTTGGGGATTAATAACTGCTGTCAAAATTTTAGGGGGATTAGTGACAATTAGGTGAAAGCCTAAGGTGGTAGAGTATTGTTGACCATAGTCTTCTTGTTCTTGCCTTCAACTTTTAACTATTAATTGTAGTTGTTTACTCATTGCTTTTCTGTGAGCTGAATAACTTTGAAATTGGAAAAGTTGCAGAAATTGCTTTCTGGATCTTCTGCTGATGTGGAGCCTGTTAGCAGATTTGAAAAGAAAATGCAGAAGCGTGGAAGCATATCTACAGTTAATATTGAAATTGTTGGAAGTTTATCAGAAGCATTCTTGATGAACCCTCATGAGTACTTGCCTTGGCTTACCAGGAGTTGCAGTGATCTTAAGTCATCAAAGACTCTTTGCCTTTTGGTTCTGATGCAGTCATTTTCTATGTCAAAAAACAGTATGTGTCTTTATTGTTTAATAGAATGCAGTCTTGTGGTTTTCTGCTGTTCTACAAAATATTTTTATTTTGACTTATTACGGATGATTTAATGTGCTAATTTTTACCTTTTTCTATGTCCTTACATTTTTATGCAATCCCAAGCCTGGAAATTTCTTGCTAAGGGATTATTTTTAATTAAATTGTAAGTGCCATTTATTCTCAAATTTGCATGGTTGGCATGGTCTGAGCAACAGGTTTCCTGAGCCCTTCATACTGAATTGAAATTAATATTGTACTAATGTAAATTTTTTCACTCACTGATCCCTTCTTGTTAGTGGGTGTTTTTTTTTTTCTCTTTCTTTTGATAGTGCTGTTATGTGCTACTGGAATATGTGTTAGCTTTTTGTTGGTGGTTTAATATAAAATTGATTTGATTGTGAAGAAATGTTGTTTGTCTATCTTATTGAATTATTTGCTTGATATCTTATTGTAATCTCCCTGACTTTTTCTTCTGCCCTGCTATTGGTTTTTACGCCTATAATTTGAGTTTGTTCTGTATGTTTTCATCTATTAGATGGCAAATTTTTGGTGCTTTTCGAAGCTTGCTTTCCAGTTTTGAAGTCTGAGTGGGAAGCTTTTGGGTCTGTAGTTGACACTTCTCTACAAGAGGTTAAAAAGCAATTTCGCTGTTTCTTTTTTCATGTTAAATGGCTATTATGTTCTTGTTCTCATTATTCTATATTGGCAACTTTTGTATTGACAGTTCAATGAAGAGATGCTTGATTGGGATTGCAGAAAGTTCCTAGACCAGCTGTTTGTTGCTGATATTGATTCTCTAAACACATATATTCTTATATGCTTATTCTGGAGGTTACTTGAGGCATTTATTTCAGCATCCTCTACTGAAGTCTTTTTGGTTGGTGATGCTATTCCTTTTTCTTATTTTCTATGCTGCTTTGGTGGTTGCATCATCGTTACTTATTTTTTCCTCTCTTTTAGGATGATAATGAGAAGGCTATTAACCGAGTTCAGGATTTCTTCATCTTCGTTGCGGTCTCTAATTTAAAGTTTGCATTCAAGAAACACCTTCGAGATCTTGTTGAGAAACATCTTCATGATTTTCTTACAAAGTGCAAGATTTCACCAGTTCGATTTCTGTCTAGCTTTTTTACAGTAGAAGGTGCTTTTCTGGCTTTCCTTTTTCTGTTTGTCCTATTTTATTTACTTTTTCTTTTTCAATTTTAAGGGCTGACACACAAATTATACCTTCCTCAATTGGGATGTTGATCAATGGGATTGGATCAAAATGATCGCACTTTGATTTTCAATCAGAGCCTAGACCAGAAAACAAGGAATCTGGCTTGGTTGCTTAAATGAAGCAGTCTCCCTTTAAGTTAAGAGAGAAGGACAATAAGTTAATTTAATTGATGATCAAGAGCTGAAGTGTTTTTAACAATGCTGTTATAGCTGGTACTTCAAAAGCTACATTCATAAAACTGTCATGATAATATAATTCTTAACCAATTCAATATGTAAATTCCAACCATCCAAAGTAACATTCTAAAGTGAATCCAACAAGACATAAATCTCTGATTAATGTGCCATGACTCAAGTTTTGAAAAGCTGCTTATTTATCGATTGTACCTGACTGAACGATGGATATGCTGGTTGAAATGTCATTGTTTTGCTGAGGGATCGATTAGCAGTTGCTTAGTCTTATACCAGATTTGATCTTGCAGATGTTCCCTTTGCAGTTCAAGCAGAGAGTCTTCACTGTTTCGCATTTCTTTGCTCTCAGCTAGATGATAGACTACCATTTGAACTGTTGGCTGAATTTCCTTCACTTCTTGTTCCACTTGCCAGTGAGAATCAGGTTTCACAATTTTTCAATTTTTAATGTTGTGTTAGCAGTTCTTTAGATTTGTTTTTGGTGTTCATGATGTCTCCATTTTGAGCTCTTCATTTGGTGAGGTGTATAAAGATGTGCAATGCTGTTGTCAGGCTACTAGGATTGCTGCCATGGACTGTATTGAAAAGTTACATAAATTGTGGTGTCAAGTTGACTTTTCTAGCAAGAAAAATGGTATGATGTATGATATGCTTGTTTCATATGGTTGTTTGTTTGTGTTTGTATATAACTATAACTGGAATTGCTTAATAACAGGAAACACTGCAATTTGGAGCCATTTTCTTGATGAACTTTTGGGCTTGATGGTTCAACAAAGGAGGCTTCTATTGTCAGATAAAAATTTCCTCCCTTCTTTTCTGACATGTTTGCTTAGCTCATCCTGTGATAGCATTCTAGTGTCTCCAAACATTGAGCAGAGGTATGGACATGTTTTATTTCTTTTCACCGCCCTTCAGCCATAACTATTACTGGTTCTTTCTAATCACTTTAAATAGCTACACTTGTTTGCTAAAAATTTTACTCCTTTAGGTTTTTGCTGCCTTTGACTTGTGCAATGGAATAATTAGCAGTTTGCCATTTTAAGTGTAGTTTGCAATTGCCAGATATCATCGCACCTATCTTTTATGAATGCTGTTAGACAGAATACTACAATAATTCATGAAATTGGGTATTCTGTTGTCTTTAGCTGATGTACATAATATGTTTTTCTTAATTTGTGTTTGGGGTGCACCACACTTAAGATATAGTCATTGTCATTGATATTGGTTTGCTAAATTGTTTATTCATGCAGTACTGTTTTCAATTAAGATGTTAACTCTTTCTTCCTGCCAACATTTAATTTCAGATTTAATCAATCTACAAAGGAAAAGATTCTTGCTTTCATATTGAGTTCTGCCCTAAAGCTTTCTGGATCTGGCAAGGTTTGCCCTTTTTTTCTTTTTTTTTGTTTATTTTCCTTTCCCTTCCTTTTTAAGTGAGTTTATTATCCTGGGGATTCTTGTTATTTTCATGTGCAAAGAAGGGATAATGTCTGGAAAATTGTTGAATGAGTTGATCTTGTGGGCAGCTGAAGGTTCTATCTTTGCTCAAAGGATTAGGCAACACAATTCTGCATGTTAAAGAAGTTGAGTCATTGTTATCCCTGCTTCTGAGAAAACACAGCCAATACCATTTAGACCTGGAAAAGTCATCCCCAAAATTGTCAGAAATTGAAATCAGGATCCTCTGCTTGCTTTTGGAGGTAAGATTTTATAGTTGTTTTGTGTTTGTGTGGCTTTAAAATAAGCATGCTTTTCTCTCTCTCTCTTTCCTCTCTTTTAGTAAACCATAAGCATGCTTTTTAATCATGCTCATAGCTGTTTGATGGTGATTTTATTCTCTGCTTTTCCTAGATTTGTGTTATGCTGTCATCGTCTCTCGGTGGACAAATTTCTGAAGATTATGTGTTAAAGGCATTGCAAGTGAGAACCTGCATGCAACTTCTATCTATATACTTGAATTTTGGGTCTTCAATGCTAAGCATTTATTTTTCTGTTTTTACTTTCAGTTGGATTTTAAGTCTCCAGAAGACCCTGCCATAATAGAACCCTGTGTTACAGTTTTGCAAAAGCTAAGCAATCAATTCTACAGTGGCTTGACAACTGAGGCACAGGTTATTCTTATCAACTTTTATTATATCTTCTGGAATGCTTTACTCTAAATTTCAACGTTTTACCTAAGTTGATGGATAGCTGAAATAGGATGCTTAAAAGGAAAAAGACAAACATCTGTGTTCCTATAAATTTTATATTATAGTAAGACGAACCTCAAGGATCATATTATGTGTCAGGTGAAAGTGTTACACCAGATGTTAGATTGACAAGCTGAGATAGGGAAAAACAGTGGGTGCTATGCATTCTGATCATTGTTGGATAAAGCTAGATTGTATCCAGATCCTTGTTGGGGATTTTCTTTTTATTCAAATAACATTTTAAATCTGTTTGGTACAATTAATTACAGATAATCCAGTATACCAAATATGCATATTTTATTTTGGATCTTTCTCTGGTTTGAAAATGATATTCTTGTACATGTTACCTGTTGATTTTTGCCCCTTCTGTTGTTTTATGAGTTCTAGGGTAGATGGTTGTTGTTGATTTATTTATATAGAGTGGATGGTCATTGTCTATCTACTATACGCTTGTTGTCAATCTATTTGCATGATGGCTGATGGTTGTCATTGATCAATTCAATTCAATATGAACCTAATATGTAAAGTCCATCATGGGTGAATGGTTTTTCATTAATTTTCTTTTATCTGTTTGATCAGGGTCATCTGTTCCGACAGCTAATACTTTTGTTTCACAATAGTAATGGTGACATTCGAAGTGCAACCAGAGATGCTTTGCTGCGTTTAAATGTTTGTTTCTCTCTCTTACTCCCTCCTGCATTTAAACATTAATATGATTCTCTTTTGATGAGTTATGTTATTATTTCTTGAATCTTATTTATTGTTAGTGCAAGCATGTTTCCTTATCTGCTATAGTTAGCATTTTGTTGATTTTGAAGGTGTGAAAAAAAAAAGGACAAACTAGTACTAAATTCTACTTTGATTGTTAAAATTATATATGAAAGAGATTTCTTGAACTTCTCTATAGTTTTGTCCTTTGCATGAGAACTTTTCTATATTATGTGCAATGACTTCTTGGTTTTGCATGGGTAACTATCAATAGTTTAGTGGTAAAGGGCCCCAAACAAATATGATGAGCTGTGTGTAGTTCTGGTTGTTTGAGAGGTTTGGGTTAAAATATCATGTAATTTGAAACTTGTTATGACCACCAAAGTAAGTGTGAGATAAATTTGTTATGTTTCCTTTGTGTATTAGCTTCCCTAAGTTCGTCTTGAAGTTATTCTGTTTTATAAAGGCAATGTTCTGATAAGTGACTGCGCTCTTGTGGATGTCATAGATTGCTTCCTCTACAGTAAGTCAGATGCTTGATGTTGTTCTGAAAGAGGATCCGCTTATAACTAGTTCAGCACATGGAAAGAAGAAAAAGAAATTAGCTGGAAATCTAAAGGCCGGTTATCGTTGTGATATAGTTTCTAAAGGAGAATGGGCTCTCTCTTTTCTTAGCTCCCTTCTTGATGTGTTGCTTCTGAAGAAAGACATAGCAAACAGGTCTGCATTTATAAGTGATACTTCCTCTATTTATTTGTGATGCTTTTTTGTTTCTGGATAAATTTCTGTGAAATTTGTCTAATTAAGCCCTGTCATTTTCATTCTCCCCAAGGAAACTAACTGTGTTTTGTTAAATGTTTTAGGCAGGTTCTCGTGGGTCCCTTATTTACTCTTCTTGGAAAAATTTTCTCTGATGAATGGGGACATGGTGCTCTCACTCAAGATGAAAGGTTGATACAAACTTCTGGTGTGTCTCAGACAATGTCTAGTGCAATTTGTTACATTCAGCAGACATTATTGTTAATTTTGGACGATATTTTTGCTTCATTCATTAATGCAAATAGTCCCCTAAAGGTATGAATCCTGTCATGGAGTTGAATGTTTTATAACATGCCATTATGTCTGATGCCCCTTGCTAGTTTCATTTTTTCTTAATTGATTTTATGTAACATCTCTGTCATGGCAGGCTGGCATAATAAATAAAATTGATATCAAAATGCTGGTTGATTGCGCTCGTTTGACAGAGGATGGAGTAACCCGTAACCATGTTTTTACACTGTTATCCTCAGTGGCGAAGTTAGTTCCAAATAGAATATTGGAGCACATATTTGATATACTTACTGTCATTGGAGAATCAGCAGTTTCACAGGTTTATTAAACTATCTGCTGGCTTTATATGTATTAGACTGCTTTAATTTGTCAATTTTCTCCTAAAAAATATGGTATTTTTTGTTAATTTTTTCAGAAGAGATCCCGGATAATTTCTTGAAAGCAATTGGAAAAAAAAAATTGGATCTTTTTTCCCTTACATCAATTTAAACTCACTTCGTTTTAGATATATATCAATACAAAGCTTTAAAACTTGTTTTGCACTCAGAAGTAATTGTTGATTTTTTATTTACTAATTACTCTGATTTTGAACAACTGTCTACAGATTGATAGCCATTCACAACGTGTGTTTGAAGATCTTATATCTGCTATTGTACCATGTTGGCTGTCTATGACCAACAATACAGAAAAATTACTTGAGGTAGTTTTATCATAAACATTTCCAGCTCTTATATATTGTTGGATGTGGTTGTTTCTATTTGAGTTCTCTAATTTGGCTTGTTCAGATTTTTATAAATATATTGCCTGGAGTGGCTGAGCATAGAAGGCTGTCAATTATTATATTCCTCTTGAGGTATCATCGAGACTTGATTATTTCAGTTGGTTTTTCAGTGTTTCCTTAAATTAACACTTTTTTCTGCAGGATTTTAGGGGAGGCTGATAGTTTGGCCTCATTGCTTGTCCTCCTTTTCCGTTCGTTAGTTTCAAGAAAAGGACTATCTTGCCTTAATGCTACACACGCTTCAGATAGATTTTCTGCAGAGAAAGAGTGGGAGTATGCCTTTGCAGTGCAAATATGTGGACAGTATTCATCCCTGATATGGGTTCCTTCTCTTGTAATGGTTCTTCAATTGATAGGACAGAGTGATCTCTCTCAAGAACTGGTTATGCAATTGTTGTTTGCCATGGATTTTGTTTTGCACAAATTGCAAGACCCAGAATTTGCATTGAAGCTTGAATCAAGGGAGAGTTCAGATAGCATCCAGGTCAAAGCCATATGCTTTTTAGAATTTCTCATGCTTTATTATTAGACAAATGTGGCAGGTGGGACGTGAGTGTGTTGCAACCCGGTCTTTATTTGTGTGCATTTATAATGATAAAGTTCCCTAATTTTATTCTTTTTGTACTTTGGAAAATAATAGGATTATTTTGTTCTTGATTTTTGATAAATTTGCATGACACTATTTGGTATAAGTTCAGCAATTCTATGCGTCTAATTGCATGACTTGTGGGTAAAGGGAAGTAGGGGCATTTGGAGCCATGCTGATACAGTGCTAGGCTCGAGCTAAACCATCTACTTGACCTCAAGCATGGCTCCATAGTGAACAAGTTGAGCTCAAGTATTAATCCAGTAAAGGTCAAGCAGCTTACTAGTAGCTTGGTTTTTACAACTTTTGACTGAAGCTCATATTTTAAGAACCTCTTTCCAACAACTTAATGCTAGAATATTTAGGCTTGCTAGCCCTGCTCCTTTGACATGCATTTATGGTAGGTAAGGTCTTGCACAAACATTTTCCTCTTCACAACTTCGAATCTATGTAATATGATAGTTCCTATTGAAGTTGGAGGAATCTACTGTGGAATGCTTCATTATTTAGTTTGGTTGTGCCCATTCCTGATCTCTTTCCTTATTTTCTCTACTCTTATGTTGCGGAACTTTAAACCTGTCATCATTTTAAGCTTTTATGGGTGAAATTGTTGTTGGGCTGGCCAATTTTGGCTAACTGTATTTGTTTTAATTTGTCATTTTATACTTAATAGTAGTCAGCGGCATCATATTCATAGGAATCCTTCTTTTACTTATAGCAGAGAAAACTTGGAGAACTTATGGAGCAGGTTGTCTCTCTCTTACAAGTTGTTGATGCAAGAAGAAAACAAATTGGCATTCCAGTTGCAACTTGGAAAGACTTTAAGGTATGCGTGGATGCTATCTTGAAGACTATTACAATGACTATGATCCCTTCCACATGCTTTGAATGCATCACCAAATTACTTGGCAATGTGGATGGCACTGTGAGAAAGAAGGTATATGGTTACTCACTCTTTCAGATTCTTTCTTATTGGTGTCCTATGCCATATTTGAACTTTTGCATCTATCTTTTTCTTTCCATTAAAATGTGGATTAAGGATTATTGGGGCTGAGATTTGCCATATTGGGGCTGAGATTTGCCACATTGTGGAGTTCAAATTTGTGTTTCATACCTAAATTTTGTAAAATTAGGATGTGCCAATGTTACAGTCTACCACCATTGGGCTGGTTGTTTTGTGTCATGTTTATAAAGTACTAGATATCTAATGATGAGCCTATTGTTTAACAAATAAAGTTGTACTTGCAAACAGGCTCTTGGGATATTATGTGAAACAGTGAAGGACCATGGCTCAGTTAAATCAAAGCGCAAGGAGAAAAGAGAACTGGACCTAAATTCAAATACCTTTGAGCTCCATTTGGATGATACTTCTCTGGAATTTTTTCAGAAGATGTGTGCAGAAATTGTTCAGATAGTTGATGATTCTATTGAAAAATCAAATGCTTCGTTGAAACTGGCTGCAATTTCAACACTGGAAATCCTGGCACAAAGGTTTTCTTCTAATCATTCAGTCTTCAGCATGTGCCTCGCATCAGTCACAAAAGGCATTAGTTCAGAGAACTTGGCTGTCTCATCAAGCTGCCTTAAGACCACTGCTGCTTTGCTTAATGTGCTTGGACCAAGGGCACTGGCTGAGCTTCCCTGTATAATGGAAAATGTTCTAAAGAAGTCTCGTGAAATTTCTGTGAGTTCTGAATTAAAAAGCAAGACTGATGAAAATAGCTCCATTTTGCTGTCTATTCTTGTCACTTTGGAGGCAGTTGTTGACAAGCTTGGTGGCTTTTTAAACCCATATCTTGGAGATATCATAGAACTTATGGTACTTAATCCTGCATATGTGTCAGGATCAGATCCGAAGCTAAAATTGAAAGCTGATTTAGTGCGGAAGCTCCTTACTGATAAGATCCCTGTAAGTCTTCTAATTAGTTATTATTTCTGGGAACCTTTACACTTTTTCAGTGGGCTAATTCTATCATATTTACTGTGATTCTTGTTGCCAGGTTCGACTTACACTGCAGCCTTTGCTAAAGACATACTCGGGTGTTGTTAAATCTGGAGATTCAAGCTTGGTGATTGCTTTTGAAATGTTAGCAAACCTAGTTAGTAAAATGGACAGGGCATCAGTTAGTGGTTACTATGGAAAGATTTTTGACCAGTGCATGCTTGCTCTTGATCTACGCCGGCAGCACCCTGTTTCAGTTCAGACTGTTGATGTGGTAGAAAAAAGTGTCATCAATGCATTAGTTTCTCTTACGATGAAACTTACAGAGAATATGTTTAAACCTCTTTTTGCCAAGAGTATTGAGTGGGCTGAGGCAGAGGTTGAAGATGTTGCTGGTAGTGGAAGCCCAAATATAGATAGAGCTATATCATTCTATAGCCTGGTAAATACACTTGTGGAGAATCATAGGTGAGATTTCTTTCTTATTTATATTTGGTGCAGAGTTATACATAGCTTTTGCATTTTTTTGCTAAGTGGTGTGTGATTCACTGTTCTCTTCCTCAATTTTAGTCCCCAAAGATTTGCTTTCAAATTCATTTTGTCACCTACATTATATATCTATACTTTGTCCATTGAAGGTTTATGGCTTGTGGTCCTAGATCAGTCCAACATTTTCATAATGTACAGGGATGTATGAATGTCAAAATTTCAAATTTGATTGAGGAGCTTTCTAAGCTGCAGCTATGGTCGTATCATGCGTTGCGCTATGTGTCATAACAATGTTGCATTTGTATTTCTTTTGTTGCTAAGATAATTTGGCATTTTTGTTTTGAATTCACTTGTTATATCTTTATCCCTTCTTTTAATGTAGGTTTTTAGTTGAATTTTATGTTCTTCTTCCAAAATGCAGGTCACTCTTTGTCCCCTACTTCAAATACTTGGTCAAGGGTTGTGTACAGCTGCTGAGTGATTTTGGAGTTTTTAAAGCTTCTAATTTAGTTCAGAAGAAAAAGAAAGCCAAGATTCAGGACGGGAATTTGGGAAACCACATGTTATCACTTAAAAGCTGGCATCTTAGGGCATTGATCTTATCATCACTGCAAAAATGTTTTCTCCATGACACTGGGAGGCTGAAGTTTCTTGACTCATCTAATTTTCAGGCTAGTGAATATTATTTTCTGAGCTGCAAATTTTCTAGTGCATGGAGTTAGTTCTAATTAAGCATGCATCATAGCTATTTAATTCTTCTTTAAATTGGAATGGAACCCAGGATATATATATATATATATATACATATATACATATATTTTCAATTTCACATTTAGGTGACACTTGGAGCAGCAGACATTGACATTGTCTTTATTGCTTGTACTGGGACTTCATTGAATTATTTCTTCAGTACTGGTTGAAGTGGTTTGTGATATCATAAGAATGTCACACTGTTTGGATGCCCTGCAATTTCTATATTGTATATATGCAGTCTTGTCAAACCTTTCATCTATTTATTGAGCATCTACATCATTGCTAGAAGTCATGAAATAGCTCTCTACTTGTTATCAAGAGTCTTTTAGTTTGTTTAACATCTCACCAGAAAACCATGGGCAATAAATGGCTGTTAAATGGCCTACCAGAATTCTTACGGTCACAGTAGCATGTTCTGTTTCTGGTTGCTTTAATTGATGAAATATTTGGATGCATATGCAGGTTCTATTGAAACCCATTGTTTCTCAGCTTGTCATTGAGCCACCGACTTCAATTGAAGAACATCCAGATACACCATCAGTGAAGGAAGTAGACGACTTGTTAGTTGGTTGCATTGGTCAGATGGCTGTTACTGCTGGAACTGACCTCCTGTGGAAGCCCCTGAACCACGAGGTGATTTTCTGTCTATGGTCTTTTTTTTTTTTTTTTGAAAGGCTGAAATTTTATTATTACAAAAATCTCCAAATGGAGACTTACAGAGAGCAAAGTCAAAAAGTGACTTGCTTGAAAACAAAACGAATTCCCAACAGCTTGATAAGCCTTCAGACATCAATCATACCAAAAAAGATAACAAAGAAATCAAAACCAATATAGGCTTGCCCTTACTAATCTGGGACACTAAGACCGTAAAAATGGATCACCAGCATTAGTGTAGCCAGAATCAGAATAAAGATGGCAGGTGTAGGGAAGGTTAGCATTATGATTAACAAAGTAAACATTGTGGTTGGCTTCTCTCACCACCCCTGCTTTTGCAAGTCCGTCAGCTACCATGTTGGCTTCGTGCCTGACGTGGCAGAAAGAGATGCTTGTGCTGTTGTGTAAGTGGGCTTCGATTGCATTTGAAATGAATTTCATGCGCCATGGAACTTTGCTGTGATCACTCACCCAGCTTATGGCATTGATGGAATTGCTTTCCACTTGCAATTGATGAGTTGTGGCCCACGGGGAACAGAGGAAAAAGATAATACCTTGTTGAATGGCTTTGAACTCTGCGAAGTTGGAGTCTTCAACACCTATGTGATGAGAGAAAGTCCCCCTTATAAATCCTAGGTGGTCTCTGAGTACTCCCCCTATGCCAGCTGGGCCAGGCTTCCCTCTAGCTGCTCCGTCAGTGTCTATGGTCTTTGAGTGGAAGGTTTCACCTTTTGAGCTTGGAATTGCTGTCTCTGTCAATATTTAAATCCATGCAAAGTATTGATCCTAATTTTGCTCAAACATGCATATAATTTTGGTTTATTAATTTATTCCTGACAACATATCCAGTATTTTTAATAGATTGTCATGTAATCCTTGTCTTCATGGAACTTGCTGCTAAGTTTAGTTCTATAATGCAGTTCTTTTTTTTTTTTTTCTTAAGTTGACCCATGTATTTAAAAATACTTCAGGTGTTGATGCAAACACGTAGTGAGAAGATGCGAGCTCGAGTTTTGGGCCTGAGGATAGTTAAGCAGTTTCTGGATAATCTGAAAGAAGAATATTTAGTACTCCTGGCTGAAACCATCCCCTTTCTGGCGGAACTGCTGGAGGATGTGGAGTTACCTGTTAAATCTTTGGCACAAGATATTCTCAAGGAGATGGAGACGATGAGCGGTGAAAGCCTTCGTGAATACCTGTGATGCTTGTATACCAGTGACAGATACTGCTTTTTCTAGTGGCAAGACATACACCACACATCATCTGGGAAAGCGACCGGATGAAAGGATTGATTGCTAAATCCAGTGAGTTTCTTTTCAACAGAAAGTGTAAATTTTAGGTTTAAAAGTTAAGAGGAGGTTTAGGTCAAACAATGGGTCTAACCTTCAATTTTTTAATCAATGTGTTTTGTCGCCGCCAAATTTTGTATGCCTTTGGCCGGCTTTACATATATCTAGTTGTAAAATTTTGCCTGGTGTAATGTACAAAATCTTAATATATTGCTGCTAGCGCTGAGCTGAAGAATGCAATGTTTTCACTTTTTGACCATTTTATCTGCACCAAAATTCTACCTTTAACAAATAATTGATTAAGAGAAAGGAAAGATGATACTCGCACTTACACGACCACTGCCACTTTTAGCTTCTCTTTTTTGGCCGGTTTGAAGAAAGTTGTTTTTAACTGCGTATATATGTATAATCGCCAAGGTTAAGATGATGAAAAATATTAATGCTACTAATATTTATATAGAATTAAAAATTTTAAAAAATATGGTTTAAAGGGTTTAAAATTAAAGTTTTATGATAAAAGAAGTAGTATCTAAAAGAATTGGTAGAAGTAAAATATTTTTGTTACTGTGGTAACTATCTTAATAGGAAATCTCACTTTTGCTTAGCTGACGTGGATGAATCTAGCGTTTTTTTCATTGAGATCGTCTGATGCGGTAATATGCACCGCAAGATTTACTAAATTTGCCATTCTGCTGTCGTCCGGATGGGAAGAAGAAGGGTTTAGGGCTTTGAAAGCTGAAGCAACAAACAAACTTTCACAAAAGTCCATTGGTCATTGAAGAAATCCATATTTCGTCGGAAAAAGAAAATGCTACCTCGATGGAACAGAGCTTTGGCGCATCTCTCAAAGCTGCGCTCATTAAACTCCATTGAACTGGGGAAAGATTTTAGTATGATTGGTCGCCAGAGCTATGCAGCTGTAGCGCCTGCTGCCCCTGATTCCCCCGACAAATCTTTTCCTACCAGATCAACGGTAATTTGTTTCTTTCAAAGCTACCCATTTCGAGTTTAAACGAATAAAACTCTGCCTGATGATCCGGGTTGTTGTTTTGGAACAGGTAAATTTGGATAAAATGTTTTGGTCTAAGCCTTGTTCATTGGCTTTGGCCCCAGACTCTCCCCTCAGAGTGGAAGACCCTAAGTATGAGGGCATTAAGCTTATTATTCTCAAGATGATGCTCTTCTATAGTAAACAAAGCAAGTCTATTCGAGGGGCAAATGTGATATACCGGCGCGTCCTTTCACAAGTTGATGAACCTGCTATATATGAAGGTCTGTCGTCTGCTATATTTATGTATTTATTTAATTTTTGTTAAATTTCATAATTTTGCTTTCTCGACTGTCATATTAGCATTGGCTTCATGAGTGATATAAATTAAAACCCATATCTTTCTTGGTTCAGTATTTAACTTGGAGAAGACCTTCAAAATGACATTTTCTCTGCTTGTACTTCATATGTGGCTCTGCTTACGCCGCTTAAAAGCAGAAGGAAAAGACGGTGTTGAATTAGGACAGCACCTTTATGAGATCTACAATCATGATGTTGAGCTTAGAGTATCTAAAGCTGGGGTATGTCATCAGTGTAGGAGTTATTTCAATGTGGATAGCATGCTATCGATGAAGATACCATTTTGAAGCTTTATCATGTATTTATTTGGTTAGAATAGTCATTTGCAGCTAGTTTATCATCATTGGAATGGCAGGTTAACTTACTTTTGACAAAGTGGATGAAAGAATTGGAGAAGATATTCTATGGAAACATTGTTGCCTATGATGCTGCATTGCTTCCAGAGGCTAAACAGGAGGAGCTAACAGACATCATATGGCGGTAAGATCTTTATCAGAACTTGATCTGGCAGTTGTTTAAAATTTTTGACAATAGTCTTCAATGCAACTTGTTACTAATTCTATGCTCCTGCAATGAGTTTCAGTTTTATTTAATAGTTGATATGCCTACTATTAGAACGTTACTAGTGGGATGAAATTTGTTATATTGAAACCTGGTTTTTTGCATTCAGCTCAAACTTTGTTTTGATTAATCATGGCCTCCTGGGCCAGTTTGGCTGGAGCTGAAAGTTATAGCAGTTCTCACCTCTGCTTAAGCTTAACATAACCCAATGTTACTTGCATCACCATTTGGGAGGCATCTTGGCCAATGCAATTGCTCCTCATTTTCAACATTGGTTTGACATTTTGCAGGAATGTCTTTTCTGATGATGGAACATCTAAACCAGATGCTGCTGCATTACGTACAGTCCAGGTATGTTCTCATCTTTTCTTTTGTTGTTGTAATTAATAGTGATGTAAGTTGTGGTGTTGGTTCATTTTACTTCTGAAGTATTTTCTTTAGTTTCTTTTGAAATAGAAGCAATGCCAGTATATTTAAATTTCTACATGCTGGAGAAGAGTCATTATGGTCATTTAGCATAATGTGAAATACAGTATGAGCAACCATAAGTTTATCTCTAGAGTTGTTCTGACTTGGATGCTTATCTTGTCTGCCATTGTGGTCTATATCCGTGGGTTAAGAGAGTCAGAAATTTTCCTCTGAATTATCATTTATCAAATTCCCCCCACACTCTCCCTAGTTTTATTATGTGGAGTTGAAAGGATAGCATGACTGAGTCTTTACACTTTTGTCTGCAGGCAATGGCAAGGTATGTTCGTCGTGAAGTCACTTGCCTCTCTTTAACTGGTAGGTTATGTTTTGTCTATCCAACTAACTCATAAATGGTGGTTGTTTGTTTTGGTTATTTAATGGGCACGTGGAGTTCTGATTTTTGAAAATGATCCAGTAGATATCATTGAATCCAACGCCTCATGCTAACCTAAATTTTGGCATTTGATATGCAGATAAGGAAGCCATGTTTTCTGGGAACTTCATTTTCACCTCATTGGAAAACAGCTCACCTGATCCTATGAGAAGGTAGAAAGTGTTCCCACTTTCTGATGTGAGGATTCAAGTTTCCAAGAATTGCTTCTACTTAGGCAAAAGGGAGGGGAAGAGAGGGAAACAAAATTAAAAGAATGAAATAATGGTCGCTCATGCTAATCTATGCTGGTAAAGTCTTCATATCACAGTTAAACTATTTTGCCAGCGTTTAATTATTTCATTACAGCAAGAGGGTTTTTGAGCAAGAAATTGATGTATTCATTTGTGGCATTAATTGCAGATTATGCAACAAAATGTGATTGTAATACAGTTAATATTTAATAGTAATTATTTTTTCTATTCCAAAATGTAGTTGATTTCTGTATTTGGGGTAAAAACAAAATATAATACAATTCTTGCTTCTGTTTTTTTAATCTAAATTAGTTTTTGTTATTTGTACCTCGCACATGGATAATTTAAGATGTAAACATTATAATTTTTTTATTAAAATTTTAATTTTTAATAATAAAGAACGATCGTATAATGAAAATAATTTTTTATTGTTAAACCATATTGCATAGTTAATTATTATATTAAACAAATAAAGCTATATCTAGTTCCTTTAATTTAGGTGGTTGGTTTTCTGTTAAAATTAGCCAATGGAGTACTTAAATCTAAGTTTGAGAAGTTTTCTTTTGGATATATCCATTCAGTATATGTCTTATTTTCTTTATTTTTTTTAGTTAGAATTTTAAATTTTTCTTTACTATTTTAAGTTAGTTTATGAAATTTTCTATGTTGTGCTTCTGGCTTATGCTATGTTTCTTTTTATATCTTCCAACATAATCTATATGTATATATATATATATATATATATATATATATATATATAGCTAAACAAGAAATTCACTAAGAAAATAACTGCTGCATAATACTCTGTTTTTCGTAAAGGGTTTACCCTGTTCTGCTAATGAAATGATACTAATTTTCAAAAGAAACAAAAAAATAACTATACTTGTAATTAATTGAAACGGTAGATTTTTTTTTTTTTTGCTCATTATAATATTTGAATGGGAATTTTGAAACACAATCTAGAAAAGTGGGAATTTTGACAGTTCCAACTGTTTGTTTGGGATGGAGAAGGGCTGCTAAGTTTTTTAATTTTATATGGAAAATTTATATGATTAGATCTTACTACAAACAAAATTAGAGCCACAAATTCTAGATTGTCCTTCGTACGAATCGATATAAATAACGTTGTGCTTGATAGAGCATTGACTAGAGAAAAACGAAGCCCACAACCAGAATGTCAAGTCTCAAGCGTACTTGGGAATCATCTGCACCTGTCTTACCCTGCAATCTTCCTGCAAAGAAGAGAACTGAAACAAAAGAAGTTGAACAATATATATATATATATGGATGCACTCTAGAACAAGTCCAAACAGAAAGAAATCACAAGACCTTGCTCTCAAATTTCCCAACCAAAATGCTTTCCACTAAGAGAAGCAGGGCATCCTCTTCAAATTCTTATCAACTTTTGTCATCATCATCTGCTGATTTGATAGCCAGCGATGATAACATCTTGACTCTAATCCTTCTCTGCCTACCTTTAAAATGCCTCCTCAAATTCAAGACCGTATCCAAACACTGGCTTTGTCTCATCCCAAATACGATGGTAGAACTATCTCGGGCCTCTTTGTGCGCCGTCTTTCAGGTCAAACTAAAGCAGAATATGACTTTATAAATCTTGCTCCCAAACCCTCTCGTGCTCCCTTTCAGCCTCTCACTTTTGTTGACGACCCATCAGGGATCAGAATCCTGCAATCTTGTAACGGCCTCTTGTTATGTTGTAGCTTTCCTGCTAATCGTCCAGAGACAACTTATTACATTTACAATCCTACTACAAAGCAATACACAGTACTTCCTGGACTAAGTCCAGTACCACGTGGCAGGTCTTCGAGGAATACTTTTGGTGTCAGTTTAGCTTTCGATCCTTCAAAGTCACCTCATTACAAAGTGATTTGCATCAGGAATTGCGATTCTGATTTACCGGATCATTACCAGATAGAGATTTACCCATCGAGAACCGGGCCCTGGAGGCCTTCCGGTTGTCCTTTCGCAGCACCAATCAATGTACAATTCAAAATGGTGTTTTCTGGAACGGTGCAATTCACTGGCTTAGTGACTGGGGAGATTCACTCTGCTTTGATGTCGAGGAAGAGCGAATCAGAGATTTGCCAATGCCCCACGTCATTGGAGATGTGCGGCTATATAGATATTTTGGACAATCAGGGAGCCATTTGCATCTTATTGAAGTCTCTGGGTCGGACACTTTACAGTTTGATGTGTATGAGATGGAGAGAGACTACTCTGGCTTGTTTGTGAAATACCAAGTTGATCTTAATCCAATTGCAGCAGCAATTCCTGAGATGGCTAGGGACGATGTTGATCCGGTAGACTTGCATTCTTATGCATTTTCAATACTCAGTGCTGTTCAGGAAGAAACTGATGAGGACTCATTTTTGGTGCCGCACTTACCCAACAAAGCCATACGGTACAATTTCAAGGATGGTAGTTTCAGTAAGCTTCATGATTTTGCTCCTCCTCGTACTAGAGTTGGGGATGACGGTTCACTGGAATTTGACTGTTATGATGCTTATCAATTCACTGAGAGCTTTGCTTGCGTCTGACCATATAATCTATGTTGGAAAAGTTTTGGAGTCCAATTATCGTTTTCTACAAGTTTTTCTGCGTGTTTGTTGTGGCTCCATATCTTGGAAAATGTAACCAGTAACTGGGGTTTGATTAGTAAAAGTTCTTTTTCAATTGAAAGCTGGCGCATCTGAAATATCTGAGTCACTTGACATGAAAGTGCTCGTGAATTTCAGAGCCAATAGCCAGGTTTCCCTTCAAACCAGGGCGCCGACCCGAGGTCTACTATTGCAAAGCAATACTTTAATTGGTCAAATGTTACAGAAAATTTGAGTCCAAAATTTCTGGCCAAAGAAAACACTGGTAAAGAGGCAGATGGGTCCCTCGTTATTAAAGAAAATATGTTGAATCCAAACTGCTTCTATTGAGCCAGATGAAACCCCTGGAAGTTTAACCATACCATCGGTAGAAAGACTTGGAGATGCCACCATGTTTGCTGATGATGGGATAACGACAGCTTGAAATCATCCAAATCAAAAAACCCAATTACGTCAGATGAAACTGACTGAAACGTGCCATGAAATTTCATGGAAGAAAAATGAACTGAAGGTGAAAAATCATAATATCAATTTGCATGTCAACCCCAAGTCTTCGTACCTTCTCCAAACTTTAAACGATATGTTTGAGAACAGTGATCAACTGGTGCTAAATTGCTAATATGAAAATTGACTTTCTTATTCCTTTTTTTTTTTTGGGATAAATGGGGCAATTTTATTTATACCACCCACCCCATTTTAACATTAACTGGCTTGCTGAAATTTATGCCGGTTTTCATGCAAGAATCTACCGGTCAATCCATCCTAGTCCCTGATAATTTTTTTTTAATGCATACCAAGGTGCTGCGCCATCTTCCAAGTAACAATTGCTTGGCAATTGCAGAACAACTTCCAATGACTTTTCTCATATTAATATTCTAAGCAACTCAACAAGAATTCAAGCCACTGAGAGCATTATAAACGAGATGAACTTGCAAGATTGCATCTGAAGCTGTATAAGAAATGACCTCCATGAAAAGACAGGAAGTTCAAAACTCACACACCAAACCAGCAGAGATGATAGGCAATGACGATGATATTCTCATTGATGGGAGCTCAAAATTTCCCTCTGCCCTCTTCTTGCGGGTGCCGCCTTATTCAAACAAGCCTAAATACCACTTCCTTCCACTAGATGGAAAACCAGCTCGTGATCCAATCAGATCTCTCACTTTCGCTGATGACTCTGCAGGCGTCAGTATTTTACAATCTTGCAATGGCTTCTTGTTGTGCCGCAGCAACCGCCGGACTGGAGAACATAATCGGAACTACTACATTTACAATCCCACGACCAACAAATACACTATCCTTCCCCAGCCTGGCAACAGAATTCCAAACACTATTTTTTGTGTTATTTTAGCTTTTGATCCCTCGAGATCGAGCTATTACAAAGTTGTTTTTGTTCGGAGCTCAAGGTCATCTCCTCATCTTTACCAGTTGGAGATATACTCATCTGAAACTCAACTTTGGAGTTTCTCTAGTGAAATTCCCAAGGTTAATTACAGTCGATGGGCCTATTGTTGTGGTGCCATTTATTGGATGAGTTACTCTATGAATTTCCTTTGTTTTGATGTTGATCAAGAGAGATTTCGAGAAATTCCAATGCCTGAAATTCCTGATGACTGGGGCCAACAGCCCAAGTGCAGATACTTTAGAGAGCTCGGAGGCCGCCTGCATCTTATCTTGACCAATGGCAGGCATAGTACCCGGCAGTTTGATGTTTATGAGATGGAAAAAGACTTTTCCGGGTGGTTTGTGAAGTACCGAGTCGACCTCAAAGCACTTATATCGGCATATCCAGAGATGACTCGTAGCTACGCTCATCCATCAGATTGGGATTACCATGCATTTAGAGTACTAGCTGTTGTTTGTAAAGAAAGTGAAGGGTCATTCATGGTGTTGCATACACCGCCTAAGCGCATCCTACCGCTTTCCAAAGCCATCCAACTCCCCTCCCTCCTCCATGTTTGCCCTCTTTGCCAGACTGGCCCGTCCCCCCCCCCCCCCCCGGCTCGACCGACCGGCATCGTGACCCCACTCGATCTCCTCCCGCCGGCCCCCTGCCTCCCTCCGCCGTGGTAGGTCAATCTTCCTACAGTTTCAAAGATGGAACTCTCACATTGCTCAAGAATTTTGCTCTGGTTGGCAACCAGACATTGAGGGATGTAGCAACGTCGAAAAGGTAAGGATGTGTATCCTCATCGACTTTCTCCCGTGTAGGAAGTCGGCCATTAGCAAATGTAGGATAGATTATGGGTTGCTCAAGCTTCTTGTAGACCAGCTAGCTGGAGGTCTGCCTTTCCTTCTGTCAATTTTGACTGTTTCTTTTTTCTGGTATAAGAATTAAATTATAAATGAAAAGATGGCTAATTTCATGGCTGGTTGTACGTATGCTAGCTCAATTATCTTCAACAATGCAAGGGTTTTACGCATCAGTCCATGATTAATAATCTGTTTCGAGTAGCAAATAGGTAAAAGTATAACTTCAAAATCACTCTCACAAGCTATATGAAATTCAGAGTGAGGAAAATGTTTCTATTCAATGGATAAATTAGAAGAAACACTTTTTCCCACAAAAGTCCAAGATGCTTGTGGGAGATGATGCTCATTACCGGTGTTTGCGGCACTTATTTTGCAATGGTACTCAAGAATCATGAAAGCTTGGGTGCAAAATGAAAAAAGTGGATGTTCTAGAAAAGAAAAAACTATTGGAAGGGCAAAAAGCTTAGACAAATGTTAAAGTTGATTAGATTTGTAGTGACCAGTTATGTACAATCAAAGCTGTGAATGCAAACTGGCAAAGCATAACAAAACACAACCAAACTAAGAAAACTGACAAGTGTGAATCTAATGCAATGTATATTCCAAATGTTTTGGAGCAGACAAAGGTTGCATGAGCGGAACAAAGGGTATTGCTCATAGGCATTTACCATGTCAACCAAGGACATTTACAGATTGTCTCATTGTTTGGGTAGAAAAAAAAAAAGGAGGAAGAGGGCAAGGGTCCACAAAAAGTTTTATATGGTGCCAGATGACAATCTAGTGCAGAATTCAGGGGACTATTTGACCAAAATTGCCAATCTAAAAAAGTGGTTGTAGCTGTTCCGGGAATAAATTGAATGAATCCCCATCACAGCTCAACAAGTTATTCTGCTATTCCAATCAGATGCATGCTCACCTACCCAGCTCCCATTGTCCGTTTAACTCCCTGTGCCAGCTAAAAGATAGGGACACTACAATACACAAATACGCAGCAAAGATTTGATTGAATATAAATTGGCCTACATAGCTAGTTGAATATACAATTAAGGATTCGCTAAGATAAGAGATAATCAATGAGAATACAATTTTTTTTTAAAAAAAAAGGAAAAATCTAGTCAGCTATCAAAATGACAATGCTGTTGCTATCCAAGGGAGGAGCCAAAGATTAAGCAAGCCACCAAACATGGGATTAAAAATTTATGTCCATCATATCTATTCTTGGAAAGGCTGGAAGCTGACCTGCAGAGCATGGGAACTGACCAGAAATCCCCTATTGCAACTGCCAAGCACCTCGCTTCATTCCAGTATTTCTGTTGCTCTATATCCACTTGATGGTTAAGGCAATAACCCAAAAATCCATGGAGATCCAACTATAGGGATAGTAGGACTGACATAACAATTGTTTCAAATTTACATGCCTTTGTCTCTCTTAACTGGGGCCAGATTGGAACATTTATTTTGTCATAGAGGTACTTTGATAATAAAGAAATCCAGCAATCCGACAAACCCAATCACAAATTCTGCAATCCTGGTTGGATGGCTAAGACTTTCACTTTTGCTTTAGTAGAGTACCCTGAGAAGAAACTTTCTTTACAAATGTCAATATCATCAATTATAAAACCCTGGTCACGTAGCAAATATTCAACCTTTTTGCTTCAAGAGTAACCCTTTTTACTGTTCCCGTAGACATCAATATTGTCATTGTCACCACTATTACTGCGACCATCAAATGCAATTCATAAAATCTAAATTTAGAAATTTAGCCTGACATCAATCGAACAATGAACTAATACCAATGCCCCTGTTCATAAATATTCCTGCAAAATGAATGCACGAGCTTCTACTTTCCAATTTCTTCAAGCTTCAGGAGCACTTGTCTGCTATTGGGTCTAAGAGAAGGAGAAGGAGAACAACAAGCCATGGTAAGCTGAAAGAATTTAAGGATGGATTCTTCAGCAACTGGGTTCCCCTGATCATTGCTGCTCCGAAGAAGTATGTCTGGATGATACAGATCGCTAATTCTATGGTCTAGAACTGCATTTCGCATGAAGTTTGGCAGATAAAAATCCTCATCAGGGGTTGGCTTTTCATTTATTGGTTCCTTTCCCGAAAGTAGTTCAAGAAAGATGACCCCAAGGCTGTATATATCAGTCTCTTCGCTTGCATCCCTCATTTTGATGAGCTCAGGAGCTTTGTAGCCCTCGGCTGCAGAAGCTTCAAGCATTTCTTGGGCAGAGGTAGGATTCAAGAGTAGATATAAGCCCAAATCCGAGAGATATGGCTGGTAATTGCGATCCAAAAGTATGTTCTTAGACTTAAGATTTCCATGGACTACTGGCTTTTGCAACCCAGTGTGTAGATGATCCAATCCTCTGGCCATACCAATGGAAATCTTATAGATTATGGTCCATCTATGACACTCCCCATTCCCATCTGCCCAGAAAAGCATAGTCTATTCAAAATCTTACACATTCTAACTAAAAGGAATCATGCAGAAAGAAGATTTCAACTTTTACTTTAGCATTCGAATCAGTTGAAAACAAAATTGATTTTGGTTGTTGAACATTATCGGAAAACTATAGAAGGGTAAACTCAAAGCATTATTCTCATGGAGATAGAATTATGGAAAGGGAAGGGAAAAGGACAAAGGTTGGTGCCGACGTATAAATATATGCAGCAATGACACTAATGGATGCTAGCCAATGCGTGTGAAGGGGATGTATAGTCTACAGACAGACAAAACAAAGTTCATAAACAATTTTAATGCAGGTTAGGACTTCTCGGTAAACCACACCCCATCTCCCCTTCCCTTCAATTAAAATCATAATAAATAAACCTCTACAAAAACCCATATCTCAATATGATAAAATAATAATAATAATAATAATAATAACAAATAAATGTCAAATTTTTTACAATATACGAATTTAGTCTACTTCAAATAAGAAGATAGTTTTTTTTTTCTTGTAATTTAAACTATAAGCGAAAAAAAAGTTGAAATGAAGAAGAGTTTGAACTGGAAAGCCTTAAAATATACCCATGAATGGAAAAAAACCCAGATAGCAAACAGAAAGCTTTTCAATAATCCTTATATTTTAATTATTAATTTGCCCTGCTTCAAATCTAGAATTACTGTCAAATTTTAGTTAATAATTTTGTATGCGAATTGAATCCTGTATGAAATCAATTTTTCCTTTGGATTTTCTGCTTTAGGGAGATCAAAAGGAGAATCCGTCTTCCTTTTTATTCCATTGTTCCTAGAAAATGAGAAAACTTGGCAAGAAACAAAACCTTGTTTGATTGATGGGAGAATAAAGAAAAAACTGAATCTTGTGTTTCGGAAAATAAATAAGAACTCGAGTCAACTAGGCCAAGTAACTGAATTTAACCTCAACTGTTCGATCAATGTCTAAACTCTTTTGTGCATTTTCTTCCAAACCCCAAGCATCAAAATGAAATGAACAGAACTGAAGAAAAAAAGGACTCACCTCTGATTAACTGAGCCAGATTGCCATGCCAATAAAAAGGATGAACAAGAAGCTTCTCTCCTCTAGGCCCAGCATAAAATCCCAAAAGAGGCACCAAATTGGGATGTCTAATGCACCCCAACAGCTGAACCACATCCCCAAACTCTTCGTCTCTCAAGGCACACGCTGGCCTCAAAAACCGAAGCAATCTGACCATGTTGCTCCTCTGCAACAAGGCCTTGTACAAGGTTCCATAGTTGGACTTTCCAATCACTTCACCAGGAGCATCGAGAATGTCACAGATGGTGAGGTCTTGTCCGCCGCTGAAAGTGATCAAGTCCTCTATTTGTGACTCATCTTCATGCTTCTGCTCTTTGCTTTCTATGTCACCCACCTGGTCATTCCTCGATGTTCTTTTGCGGTAAAAGAAGATGATAAGTACGAGAATGAACAAGAAAGCTGTTGAAGACAATGCGAGAGCTAGTTTCAACATGTTGGTGTTTTTCATTTCATCAAAATTTTTGATTCTTTTATGGTTTTCACAGACAAGGTTTGCAGCTCGGCTAGCAAGTGAAGATCCGGGTAGTGCAGTGTTTAGATATTAAAATAGAAAGTTGCGTTTTGAGTGGAAATTTCTTTTGTTAGGGACAGGTCGGGTATAGGAGACAAGAACTTGTAGATAGATTTGAACCTTGTGCTTTGTGTGGGGTGTGGAACCAAAGATTCTAAGGAACTATTTTGAGGATGAAAATTTGAACTCTGAGACTTCCTTTGCACTGGAAGAGAGACAGAGAGAGAAGGAGGAGGGCTGAGGGGTTAATGCATGTGCAGAGTCAAAAATTGGTAGGAAGAAGAGAATTAAGAGCAATTGCCATGTGAAGCTTTACTACCTTGTTTGACCATTTTGTTGGCGCTGTTGGTGTAAATTTGGCAGAACTGCCCCATGGCTTTTCTTGTTTTGGTTCCTAGCTCCATAGAATTACAGCAAGCTCAAGTAATGGATGTAAAATCATACCAGTTATGGTTATCCTTTTACATTTCTCTAATTAAGAACGTTTAAAGTGGGTAATACACATTTCTCAGAATCCGTATATGTATCTTTGGGTTTATAAAATAGCACATTCTTAACTGGTTTTGGTGTGAAATAGCACAACTTTTTTACCCAAAATTTTCTTTTAATAACATGTTCATAAAATAATCCACTGCTATAAAAATTCAACAACTCTAATCAATGTGCACTTGAGTTTACAACACAGTTAGACGATCAACATAATGGCATTAATAATAATTAGAAACAGTTCAAATTAAAGGTTAAAAAAAAAATACATTCTTGACATCCAATCTTCCAATGATAAACCTCAAAAGCAGCAAATATCGAGGACAAAATATCTCATGTTAAGAGAACCTGCCTAACATAAGCCTAAACATTGAAGCAAGCAGCCTTTTACCCTTTTTCA